TGTGTATGCATGATAAAATGTTTGTATACTTGGCATCCCTGCCTCTGATTGCGTTTTTTTCTGTCTTCGAAATTCACGGAATTTTCTTGGTTTTTTTACGTTTTAATTATTATTGCCACTTTAGCACTCTTTGGTCCAGTGCTGCAAAATCTAGACAATACCCAACAAACATTGAATGTTGAATAAGAGCTTATTCAGACAAAAACAAGCTTCTTCAGCTAAAAAATAGCTTTTTCAGCTGTTGATCGACTCAAATTGTTTGTTGGGTACACGGCGATATTCAAAATTCTGCTTTGGTCACTCATTTGAGCCAGCAGTCATCGTCAAGACAAACCATGTAAATTATCAGTGACAATGCTGTCAGTGACGAAGATCTGCAGATTTTTGTATTAGCTTAATTTGATACGAAATTTAATTAATTCAGCAAAACAATTCCATGGAGCCGTTAAAGTGAAGAAGCATCTACGTTCTGAACTGCTTGGATAACAATAATGTCACTCAGAATGCACGAAATTACACTTTTTATTACCAGGTGAACCTTTGTCATTGACGAAATAAAGATTGAGGATCAAGTCCATCAGTGACTGTGGGAAGAACAATTTTGTCAACATCGTGCGAAAATTTGTCAATGACAATGACAAACCTCAGCACTGATTTGATCATTTGTGACTTGTCCGGGAATGAGAATTTAACTCGTGGCTTTAACGTGAGAGGTATGGATGCTAACGATTGCGCCGGGACCCTCCCCAACTTTTCTTGGTTTAAACAGAATCGCTCCTTAGCTGAGCGGTTTTCTAAAATAGATTTCATACATTCCGTAGAAAACAACAATACAATCAATGCACAGACGGCTTCCTTTTGCTGATCCTATTTTCTCTTCTTCTATAACCAACGTGACAATAAAAGGGAAATGAATACAATAACTTTTCCCGGGTTTCTGCAGGCAGGTACCTCATTCCAGGTGTCTTTCTCATCTCGATACGAAATTCTTTTGATTTAAGCAATATAGGTAGAAGCCATCCACCAATGCTAGGTGGAAGAAAAAGTGGAACGATATTCATGGAATCAGGAACTAAAACCCTAGTTAGTGGATGAGCCGAATTTCAATACCTATATCTATAGAGTAATCTATACTAAAGTTCTCTAAGTAAAAGTATGGACGTCTGTCAAAATGTGGTCCAATCGAACTGTCAAAATGCCTTGCTTTGCTCGGCTGGAACAACTTTTTTTCAATTTTGTGGTGACAGTCGTCCATACTTTTACTCAACCCAATCGACAAATTAGTAAATTATAGATCAACATATCAACAGGGCATATTTGCCAAATATAAACAATAGAGTGACGCAAAACTTGAAATTTTCGCTCCACAATAATGGCTACTATGTCACACTGCAAAATACAGTGTTGCCTATAGAGCAGCTGCTTGATCATGTCATAAGTTTACCAATCTCTTAAATAATTAATAACTTTTTCCTGTCTCGTTTTAAATAGAAACGATCTTCAGCAAAGTTGTAGCTGAGAAATATAAGAATGGCTATCAAACTGTCTCGCAGCTCAATATGGAAAAAGACTAGAAGGCAATGAACTTAAAGTTGAGATTTCCCATAGTAATTTACATGTAAACTTCAAATGGCTTGTGCGAAGTCTGTTTCCAACCAAATGAGTTGTAACTTTGGGAGGCTAATCAGGACCCGATTTGAAACCATTTAAGCACCGTGGAGTGAAAAAGTCAAATTTTGCATCAGTCTAATAAGCAATGATGTTTGATCACACCATCGGCGCCGGGGTTTTACCGCATTTGAATGGGAAGCGGCTTCCACAATTGCCCCTACACACTTAGAAATTATCGCCGACTTCCGTAATTTTTACCGAAATCTGAACAGCTGAACTTTTCGGTAAAATTTATGCAATTCAATTCAATTGCTTTTCAGCTACTTTGAAACTAAATCTCCACTAAAATGACAAGACTTGATCATTGAAACAAGGTTGAACATGTTTTCATATTTTTTAAAGTCATAATTCTTTGCACTACTCCATATTTCTTGTTGTTTATTTGTTATTGTTTACGTTTTACGAGTAGAATTTGTTGTATTTGAATATAGATGATCATTTCTGGCTGTATTAGTGCACTTTGCGAGAAAGTGTTAGTGAAAATTCGAGGAAAATATAAAACAAACCGCTGTCAAACTCATTTCGACAGATTGTATTCCAGACATTTTGAGGTTAGTACCCGAGAAAAATAATAAACAACTTTACACGGTTGTATCATAGAGGTAACTCTAAGACTAGTAGGTCCCGAAATAACGTGCTCAACTTTTTGGCTCAGCTCTGGTACTCTCTTCGGTCCCAAGCTAATCGATGCACCGCTCGAAACATAGGAAAATCCACTAACCCCTCATTTTATCTGTTAAACTTTCATAGCGAATCAAAACAAACATAGTGTAGTACTAGAATTTCGACTAGAATGGGGTACGTTAATCGATTTGCTTGGGACCAATAGGCTAGTCAAGTAGTGAGCCAATTTAAAATCGTTAGTTTCGTATTGATTGTTGGTTGTATGGCCGTTAGTGTGTGTACGTTTAAAGTTAAAAATCTCTATTGACTTCTCGTAGCTAGATCTCACTAATACAACCTTGCTAGTGTAGCCGTGTAAAATCAATGTGTTTATTATTTTAAACCATGAAATTCGCTGTAAAAAGGTTCGACTTGACAGCGGTTTTTTTTTTAATATTTTCGATCAGTAAAACGCATTTGACGCGTCACACGAGACAAGGGCCTATCATTGCTGATTCTCTTTGCCGAGTTGATTTTAACTCGTAGTTAAAAGTGACATTTCAAAAGTTATTTTCTATGTTCGAAAATCCCTGTGCTGTCGATCGACCGGTTTTCGAGAAGAACTCAGCCACGGTTGTCAACATTTAACTTCTTGTCCGTCAGAAATAACCACGCTCGGATAGCAGAGTTAATCGATAACTTTCCATCTGTCAAATTTTAACCAACAGTTAAAATAATCCACCAAATGGTTCAGAGCCTTAGGCTGTGAACCATTTGCCGAGTTAAATTCAACTCGTGGTTAAAAGTGACGTTTCGAAAGTTATTTTCTATGTTCGAAAATCCCTGTTCTGTTGATCGACCGGTTTTCGAGAAGAACTCGACAGTGAGCATGCATAAGGGCGTATACGCGATGATCGATTTTCTCTTTGCATTGCTACATCAACTGGCTATCAAAAGCAACAGCAAACTGAGAAACGTTAAATCTAGCGAGTTATTAACAAAAGAGAAAATCGCCGAAGAGAATCGATCATCGCGTTTACGCCCTTATGCATGCTCACTGTTGAACTTAGTCAAGGTTGTAAAAATTTAACTTCTTTTCTGTCAGAAGTAACCACGCTCAGATAGCAGGGTTAATCGATAATTTTCCATGTGTCAAATTTTAACCAAAAGTTAAAATAATCAGCGGATGAATATGGCTGTCATATCGCTTAAGTTTGCTGCGTACCGAAAATCTGCAACGTTGTCAGTGGTACCATGATATGTTTTGTTGTTTTGATGTTGAGTACGTGTTTTCAGCTATATGTCAAACCCCTGAAAATAATCCACCAAATGGTTCAGAGCCTTAGGCCTTTAACTTTTGGTTAAAATTTGACAGATGGAAAGTTATCGATGAACCCTGCTATCCGAGCATGGTTATTTATGACAGACAAGAAGTTAAATTTTGACAACCATGGCCCGAAAACCGGTCGATCGACAGCACGGGGATTTTCGAACATAGAAATTAAATTAACGAGTTAATTTTAACTCAGCAAATGGTTCACAGCCTTAATACTAACGGTGGCAGATAAGTCTATTGTGCTGTAATTAATATTTAAGAGAACGCAATTTGAACTTGCGACGTGATCCATAACGGGACAGCCATCATACTTTGGCACTACTACAACATTCGTTTTCTAAAATATTAAACCAGACAAGAACTACAATACGATGTCAACTTTACCTTGAGAAATTCTATCTACAAAATCTTGTTGATCTGCCACGTTACGTATTTTAAGTTAGTAAACAAAAGAACAGTCAATGTCCGTTACCTTGATCTCTATTAAGCAAAGCGGATTAATAGCTTTTGTAGTGGATTGAATAATTTCTCTTTAGCTCTGTTATGCTTATATTTTGACAGATACGCGTCATACTTGCTAAGCCGCCACGTTATGTAAACTAAAGAGTCTTCAATGTCTGTTCCCCACTGAGCAAAGTGGATGAATTATGTTAGAAGATTTCTAAACATTCAGCAACATCAAGTTTCCATGCAGAGGATAGGCTTTGCAGAAAATCGATATTAGCCTCGATATTAGCCTTTTTCAAATTGTGCCCAATAGAGAAAATATTCTCCGCAACCTTAGATCCGAAATCGCAATAAATTCAATGAGGTCCTATCAGCATTAATCGAGAAGTCTAGTGAATGTATGCCAAGCAAGCAAAGCTAATGCTAGAAATATAAAGAAACTGTACTTGGTTATGTCATGCTGCATCACGTTGTATCGCCGAGATGGAATGCAAAGACAACCTTCTCAGTTTCAAAAACATGTAGTTTTTCGTTAAATTACCCTACAATCATAGCAATTCAGAAAATTACCAAGCAATAAAACAGCGACCCGCTATTAGGCGTTTATGTTCTGTTTTTAAATATAATTTGCCGAGTCTCTGAAAGGAAAGAAATGCTCATTATCAAATTTATTATTGCTGGTGCCGTCATCTCCATTTTTGCTTCACTGACCGCAATAACTGAAAACAAACAGCCTACTTTGTTATTTGCACTGAAATCTTCTACCCGCGCCACAAAAGAATCACTCGTGTGAGGACATGAAAAATGCGGCAATAAACGTCTCTTTGTTTTTATCGCATTACCTGTTGCCCGGACCCATCCATATAACGGGACCTCAGCAGAGTTTGATTGTTCATGTGACTACCTTAAATTTAGTTGTTGTTTTTTCCACGGTCCCACTTACCTGCTTTTTCGAGTCCATCTCATCCTTCAGCTCAATGACCCGCTCCCGGAGCGGCCGCAGTTGCTGCGACAGAGGTGTGACACGTTCCCGAGCGGCTGTGACGGCCCGCTGCAGGCCGTCGACCAGCCGAGTCAGTTCGGTCATACCACGGGACGCAATTCCCGGCGAGCCCGGGCGGCTGTCGAATTCGCCTCCACTGGCGAGGCTACTACCGGCCATGGAGGAATCTTCGTCAGTCACCTGGGACAGGGTGCTCGAAAGGGACGGGTCTTGAGTTTTAAGATTTTCCAGCGTCTGCGATAAGTCGGTCACCTCGGCTTTGACCGAAGCCAAGTCTGCACGTTGTTGCTTGTAGACATTGCTCTTAGCACGCAGCGTGTTGACGAATTGCTTCAGTTCCTCACCGCGAAGGATCACCTCTCCAACCGTGTCCTGCAGCTTGCGTTGCTTGTCCTGGAGTTGATTATCGATTTCACGTAGCTCTTTGGTCGTCTGGTCCAGCTGCTCGGCAGCGGCTTCTTTGTTACGGGCAACCATGGCTGCCTGTTGCCGAAACGGTCCCAGCGTGTCATTCTGAATGTTGTATTCAGCCATTCGAACTTCAACGTGTTTCTGAATTTCCCGGTTCAGTTCGTCGATTTTGCTTTGCATTTCAACGAGATCACTGCGGGCGATGTTTGGTTCGTCGATTACCTCTTGTAGGGTTTGCACCTCGGATCTCCGCTGGAGAAGTTCCTGAGGTAGCTTCTGCTGAACCATAAACTCAAGAACTTGCGTTTCCTCAATAAGGCTATCCATCAAGTTCTGAGGCGTGGCACCCTGAACGGACATCTTTGCATTGTGCAGATCCTTCTGCAGTCGATCGTGAATCATGCTGGCTCGATTGAGCCCTTGCTTTTGCTCTTCGATTTGCGACAGAAGTTCCTTCTGGCGTTCCTTTTCGATTCGCAAGCTGTTGGCTGCTTCAAGGAGTAGTTCCTGTTGAGGCACCTTGTCCAGCCGCGTTTGAGTTCGTTCGATGCGTTTCTTGACGTTCTCGATTTCGGTTTCGATTGCACCAATGTCACTTCGCAGCTCCCGGGTTTGGGCGCCTTCGTGGACCGACTGTTCGTACGCTCGATGAGCGTCCTTGAAATCATCCATGGTTTGCAAGTATTGCACCCACATGCTACTCAGATCAGGCATTGACATGGCCTCCGGTGGTAGGTCCAACGGGATTAGAAATCTGTTGAAATATGGATGAAGGTAAATATTAAGTGTTCTGGTTCGAAAAACAGCTATGTACTGCCATACTTAGCCAAATAGGATGACTTCTTAACTCTCTCCCGATTGTCGAACGTCCACCGCAGGATCGGATGTATTAACTTCTTCTCGCCACGGACCAACCCACGACGGAACGCTCCGGGATCATCCATATCGCCCGGTGGACGATATTGAATCTTTCTTAAAGCGTCCATCACATGTACGTTGGTCTCTTCCGGGTCGTTTTCCCGAACATCCAGCTTATCGATTGCATCGAAGGCATGAAACACGTCGATCATCACCTGCAGCAGCGATTCCGGCGACAACGAATCAAACGTTATCAGGTTGTATTCCGTTTCGAGCAGCTTGTTCACTTCCAGCACGATTAGTTTGAGATCTTCGGTCATTTTTGAACTTTTTCAAGATAATGTTATCCAACAAAAAATGGTAGGTGATTATTTGGTCGCGAAAGGATAGATAATATTAATTTGCATATTTGTTTGGCTGCAACTGTTACCAAGCAACCAAGCAAAGGTTGCTACGCTTCGGTGAGCATGCGCGGTGACGCGGTTGAACTCAGCAACCTGTTGATGGTGTGTTTATTTACACTTTTGCATGCTTTCAATTAAAGTATGCGCAACAGTTGGTTGCTCAACACACTAATAGCGAATTTTTTTGGAACTGGTTCCAACCCAGTGCGAATCCGAACTTTTTGTCAGTGCGAACCTCAACCTGAGCTAGGTTTTAAAAACAAACGATCAAACTGACGCTTGCAGACCCGATCTTGATACCCGATCCAGGGTGGAACTGAATAATAAACAAATTCGCTATAAGATTTATAGAGAATTCAATAGGCTAGGCGGAAGATGAAAACTGTCCACTTTTTCTTAACGGCCAAATTACAGTTGAAGGCCCAAACGCAATGTGGGCGGAAACGGAACCGAAACAGAAAGTTCTTATTTTTCTTTTGGTAGTTCAATTCATATAGGTATTTAAAGGAAAAAATGTTTGTTTATTCTTTTGGTTTGCCAAATCCGAACTGCCGTGCCTTCCGCTTAACCCTCCCATTTAATTTTGCACAGTGGTCTCATCGACCTTATTCGCCGCCGAACGCCATTTAGATTTAAACTGCTGCTCGTTTTCCATGGATTTATTATTTTTTGACCAAGGCCCAATACCGTTTGATAGGGCGGAATTCTGGGCTGTTGGGAGGATTGTGGTCTTTGGGTACCACAACCACGTTGTTCGCATCGTACCACTCGATTACCTTTTTCCCATAGTGGCAGCTCGCCAAGCCCGGCCAGAACAGCACAGGTCTATTATGTTGCCGTAGTAATGAAAATACCGCTTTTTAGACCACACGTGCATATGGTCTGCCAGACGAGATATTTTTTCGGGAACTTCGATAGTTTGATGGTTTTGAAAATTTCAGCCACCTTTCCTTTTCCTGATGTGGTATAAAACTCCTGTCCCGGAAGCTGCTTGAAATCCGCCTTCACATAAGTTTCGTCGTCCATGACGTCACATTCGAACTTTGTGAGCAGATTCGTATTTTGGGACCGCTGCTTTGCGTTTTGTTTGTAATCTCGGTTCGTCACCTTCACCTTCTTAAACGTCGACAACCCAGCTCGTCTCTTGGCCCGCTGAACAGTAGTATGGGAGACACTAAGTTTGCCAGTGACGTCCCGGATGGAGATGTTAGGATTCCGCTTATATTTCACCACCACCTTCTTCGTTGTCGCTGCCACGTCCGGATTACGATTGCCGCCGCTTCCAGGCTTCCTGGTGGTCGACAGACGCTCCCCGAACACTTTTAAAACGTTTGTCACGGTCGATTTGGCCACATCTAGCAATTTTGCCAACTTTGCGTGTGAGAACGTCGGAATCTCTTGCTGCGAGAGCAAAATTTTGACACGCTGCTCCTCTTGCTCTTGCGTCATTTTGAAAACTGGAGAGCAAACGGTGAAAACTCATCATAGCAACCATTGTATATACACTCAACTTCCATATGCAGTATTTCAGTTGTTTTTAATGAATTTTTAACAGAAATACACCAATTGGAAATTGACCAACTTTTGTGCGTTCCAGACTTTATGCTATGTATACAGTGCTTCTAGAATCTAACTGAATGGAAAATCCGGGATAAAGTCTTTTTTAATTGAATAAATGCTTTCTAAATCAATAACAAATCAAAATTGGACCTTAGTTCGTCATCTTTACGCACACATTATTTGTATGCACTCATCTGTTTTCTTTGAAGTAATGTAAGTTGCGAGGGGGCGACACATCTAAATCTCAATTTTAGATGCTCAAAAAATCTCACACTAGCGAATCAATATTTGAAAAATCTTCTTGCATTTCTCGCATCTACTTGCATCGCGCATCATTTTTTTTCAGCAAATCTTCAGAATCGTCATCAATATTCTTTCTGCCTACTCAACGTGCACGCAGCTAGCCACAGCAAAACACAATCTTTCCTGCAGTGTAGATAGAGTCGTCCCCCTCGATCTGAACACTTTTTAGTTTGAACGCCGTTAATATGCATGGAATGGATTAAAGTGAAATGGAACGCAGAATCAAAACAAACAGCAAATAAGGTTACCCGAAACTCGCTTTGCTGATGGTCATAGGGTTCCTAGAAGTCCAAATTAATATTGAACCGCGCTAATACGCACGAAGTGTCGTGCAGACTAACGCGGGTCCACGATATTCTGAAATATTATTGCACTAAAGCATACTAATTAAAGATTAAAAACAGGTTCAATCAGCATTTTTCAAAATCGATGCGATTTGACCACCATTCTAAGCAATTCCTATATTGTTTGTTGATACATACCATTAAATATCTATCATACAGACCAATCATAAAAATGGAATACTTAGGTTATAATCTTCATCCATGATATCATAATACCAACCAGTGGAAATTATAGATACTATAGATTCCATAGATAAGCGGAGGCACAAAAAGTTGTTTTGGCAACCATGAAAAATAAATGATCTTACTGGCATCCGTGAAAAAAGTTCATGCCATCATAGAGCTCTTCGTTGCACAGTTTTGTTTTGTTTCGTACGTAAAAGTTCAAAATGAAATGCAAAGCAAATCTTTGCAACAATGAATCGAGTAATAGTTTGCTTTATCTTTCCTTCTTCCGTTGTCCGCGAAATAAATCGGAATGTGGAGTGTGAAAAGCGATTTGTTCTCATAATATTACAATACTTTGTAACTCTACTGTCTGTATCCCGGTAAAAACGCTCAGTAGCAGAAACCTCTCGAGCTGTGTCTCAAGGTCGGCTTACTACTGGGTAATCTGGAGGGGCTTCGCGATCCTCATGTGCAGTACTGTCACCTGACTAAAAGCTATGAAAAGTTTAAGTAACACAGTAATCAAAGGGTGTATACTAATTATTTATTAATAAAAGCTATAGCAGGTGTGGATTGGATTTCTAATCGTAGTCCTATTGAATTTGATGGGTGTACAGTGGGTTTTTACTATGGGGGTTTGACGTACCGATACTGAACTGCTGCCGTTGATACTGCTCCGCCGAAGACTACTCTGCCGATGTGCGAGCGCTCGCCGATGATCCTACGTATGACGAGCTTGACGTCGGGCGAATCAAGCCTGACAGGGTGGTGATGTTTGAATTTACTTGCTAGTGGATCGGTCAACAGATTTACTTGACTTGATGATGATCTGCGGTCTCCTGGCGTGTACCCTCGTTGACAAGAATCACCAGAGTCCAGGCAAGGCCGGAGTGACTCTGCTGAGAGGGGTCCTCTTTTGCGTTTAGAGCCGTCTTGGCCCGCGGAATGCAGCGATTTTGACCTTGCAATGCCAAAGCGAAATGGTGTCCTTTACTGTTAAGATTAATAGCCACTCAGGACCAATAATCCGACTCGTGTGCTTCCTGACCGACTTAGTCGGTTGGTTCACAAAATGGCGCTGTACCGAATGGTACCACCAAAAGGTCCTGTGAGGGCAACGGGGTTTATTTTTATTAATTGTCGTACTGGTCTATGGTCATTCGATTAATGTTAGCTATTGGTAATTAATTAGCCAAGCCGTATTACCTGATTGAACAGATAGATATTCTCGCGATTTACCACTCACTTTGTATTACTTTAAGGACATGTGAAAAACCGCCAATATTAATTATGGGCAAATCACCCACGACGCAGTTTATCAATGTCCAACTAACCCGTGCAGCAGCTTGAATCTATATGACCTTTCACCAACTGTCAGGAAATGCGTATGAAAGGTCATGACCTACCTAGTTATTATCCATCTCATATCTTCCCTCTCCTTCGGTATAAAAGTTTTAAATGTTTTCACTCTACACACTTGTTTTGCGCCAAGTTTTTTTTCTCAGTGTACCTCAGTGTGCCGCAGCTGTACCGGCAGTGCAAAGAAGTCATTGAACTGACTTTTGATGCTTTTGATTGCTTGTGAATAATGCCTTGTTTGGCAACCCGGTATTTTAACAGCTCTTGTTTTTGTTTTGTTTTTCAATGTTTTCAAAAACTACACAGACTACAGTTTTGACTACACACTGGATGCATCCGTCTCCAAGGATGCCTGCAACGGACGAGCTCCGTTGCTACACGATCGGCGGAAGGCCGACCCCGCACAACGAACGTCGATCATTAGTCAACCAAGTCCTTCTGGGAGCCGGCGGAGGAAACGGATTAGCACCGAATTTTTCACCACCCGAGTATCATCCGTCGGAAAACTGGAAACCAACACCGGGTGGAACACACGTCGGACTGACGAAACGGACCAGCCAGTTTTCCAAGCAGAACTACTTGTCAGAGTCCACCCGTACACCCTGCCGGACAATTCGATCAGCTTCAAGGTCTACAGCGCCTCCAAGAACAATCGCAATCTTCCCGCTGAAATCGGAAAGTTCCCGAGCGTAGCCCTGGCGGTGAACGCCATCATGAAGTGCAACCACAGCGCGATCGATCACAAATGCACAAAACTCCCGTTCATTATGAAGATGTTAGCTATTTGAACTAGGTATTTGAGATTTTGCTAAGACGGTCCTCCAACATTATAATATATCCTTCATATTATGAAGGACGATGGAATGGTTGGTGAAGCAGCCACCGCCATGGATGTATTGAAGCAGTTCGAATGGTCGGATGGGATAGTTTTTGTTTGGTTGTTGACTTTCCGATGAAAACTCAAGCACCGCTTGTCGTGACCGGCCCAAGATTTCCAGCGTCGGCCACGGATTAGCGATGCAGCTCCCACGGTTGCGGCTGCTTCCAATTCTGCTGCTGCTGTTCCTTCTGCTGGTCCGTCTCCTCTAAAATTCGTAAAAAAAAAAGACGGACCAGCAGCAGCATTGGAAGCAGCCGCAGCCGTGGGAGCTGCATCGCTAGTTCGTATAGCCATGGCCGGAAACCTC